ACCACGTCCAGAGGAGGTTAATCCTGAGAAGCTATCATTAGCTCTAGAGCCAGAAGTAGCTGCTATAGCTGCACAGCATCAGTCAGCAGTATCAGGGTCCCCTCCACAGAGATATATGGTAGTTGATATAGGAGGAGGTACAGTTGATATTACTGTACATGATAAGAGTCATGGGAGAATTAGTATAGTACTACCACCAATGGGGAACACCTGGGGAGGTACTACTGTCAATGAAGCATTGTCAATGATACTGGAAGAGATAGTCAAGGATAAAGGGTTTAAGTCTTTCTTATCTTCAGATCCAACTCGTGCTAAAGCTGCACTGAATAAATTTTTCTATGGAGAGTTTGAAGAACGGAAAAAAACATTCGGCGACACAACTAAAGGAATTAGAGAAATGGTACTGACACTACCCAAAACTTTTGTATCATTCTATGGTAATCGCAAGCTACGTGAAGTAAGGAAGATGAACATGCATTATGATCCTGGAGATGGTTCGTTAGAAATAAACTACAGTCAATTAGAAGAGAAGGTATTCAAGTCAACAGTTGAAAAGATTCTTGAGTGCGTCAGGGCTGCTTTTGATAAGCTAACAGATCATATTGATACAGTTTATCTGGTAGGAGGGTTTGGAGGGTGTAAATTTGTTAGACAAAAGATAGAAGAAGCTATTGGTCACCATCGTGGCATGCTTTATGATAATATAGTGTGTCCTGTACAACCAGATCTTGCTGTTGTAACAGGAGCAGTAATGTGGAGGAAGGATCCTAACATAATCCAATCACGTGTTGCTAATGCTACCTATGGGATAGAATGCCAGCCTGTATTCGACCCATCAATACATGATGAACATTACAAGTCTGTAGATGAAGATGGTGTACAACGCTGTGCCAATGTCTTTAAAGTATTTGTACTCAAAGGAGAAGAGATAAAGGACGAAGTGTATAAAGGTAAATTTATACACAGTTCTCAGATCGATACACAAATTTGTATCCCTATATACTGTACAGCAGATGATGGAGTGCAGTATGTAAGAGATAAAGAAGACAAACCAACAGTACAAGAGATTGGCCAGCTGGTACTTGATGTTTATGGTAACAAACCATGGGAAGAGCAAAAACTTGACATATTTATGGATTTCAGTGGTACAGAGATACTGGCAAGAGCTCAGTATCGTATCACAGGGAAAGAAGTGAAAACAGTTTGTGACTTTCTATCAAAACAAGACTAACAACAACAAAATAAATAGCAATAGTAGATTGGAAGTATTTACATGTACTTACTATAGCATGTAGTAGTTTCAGTATTCTATCAGTTCTCCAACATTTTGATGCACTTCTTACATGCACACA